GCGGAGGGGAGGGGAGGGGAGGGGAGGTTTTCGAGGCTTAAGGGGACAAACTACTTACAGGATGTCAGCAGGCTCTGGTGCCCTTGAGATCTGGAGACGGTAGCGATCGAGGAACTTAGGAGGATGCTCTCGATTGCAGCACATGAACTCGTATATACGCCTGTACGTCGGCCGGTGCTGCGGAGAAGCAAACGAAGAGCACAATTCAAAGGAGAGCAAAGTGCAAACGAGGACCGCAATCAGCTGGAAGAAAGGAAGACAATAGACGATCACTCAGTTCCTCTCACTCAAGGCAATGGGGATTTGGTGGAGTTGTCAAGTAGAGGGAGAGGGAAGGTGGACAAAACTTAATAGAGTTCCTCTCACTCAAGGCAAAGGGGGCGGCAGAGAAGTCGAGGAAAAAAAGCTACAAACGAGACAACGAGAACAACGACACAAAACCAGCAAGTGAATGATGTCCAAGGACCAAGAAGAGAGCATACTGTGAATGGTGTCCAAGCACCCAGATAGAGAGAACGTGACAGATCTATTACGTTTGACTTCTGGTGAGGAACTGGGTAAATTTGACTGAGAGCAAGAGGAGAGAAGATCAGAAAGTGGAGAGAGAGAGAGAGAGAGAGAGAGAGAGAGAGAGAGAGAGAGAGAGAGAGAGAGAGAGAGGGTTGTGAGTAATAATAATAACCGCACAGAGAGAGACTACAACAGGAAGCGTTCATCCATGTATTATTTTGATTACCTGATCCCTCATACAATTGGAGGCATGGGAACCATAACTGAAGGTGACGACCGCCTCGCCGAGACAGGCCAAAGGTGCTCCCTGTACCACAGAAGTCAACGTCAACATCAAACATAAAAGGGGTCAAGTAATGCCCTCCCATGACATAAAAGGGGTTAGCGCATGTGCGCTCGGCAATAGACTGTGTTTGCGGTTAAGTAATGCCGCCTCCCATGCTATAACCCCTCACGAGGAACCTCAAAAAAACTGTGAAACCACAAAAACAAAAAAAGGAAGACAGTTTGCAGAAGACCAGAAACACTTAAAAAACAAGAAATGGGAAATCTCCCACAAAAAAAGAAACCCCCAAAAAAGAAAAAGTACGAAAAAATTAGGAAACGGTGAAAGGTTGAAACCACAAAAAAGAAACATCACAAGTGCGACTGTTTGTTGTTCCACTCTCGATTTACCATGGTTATGTCTCCAAAATTGGATTTTACCATAGTTAATTTCTCACTCCCACACTGGCTTTCAGCATCGGCAATCTCTTTCTTCAATAATGTTTTTCACTTCTTCCTCACTGCCTTTCACTACGTTTAATTCACCCACACAAACTGGATATTACCATGGGTAATTCCCCCCAACAAACAGAACTTTACCATAGTTAATACTCCCTCACACACTGAATTTTACCATGAATAATTCTCCTATACCGAAAGTAAATAACAGAGAGCTTAAGTCACGCCTCAACTCGCTCTTCAAATCTCCAACATACAATGGCATTACCATAGTTAATTCTCCCACACAATCTGGATATTACCATGTGTAATTCCACGCCACAAACAGCATTTTACCATAGTTAATACTTCCTCACACACTGAATTTTACCATGGTTAATAGTCTTCAACACCGAAAGTAACCAACCAACGAGCTTACATCGCGTTACCACAGTCAATTCTCCCACACAAACTGGATACTACCATGGTTTTTTTTTTTTTTTTTTTTTTTTGGATACTGCCATGTGTTTTTATCCCACACACTGAATTTTACTGTGGTTCAGTGTTGTAAAATTCATGTACACTACTACACTGGATACAAACTGGATGTTACCACGGTTAACTCGCCCCCACAAACTGGATTTCACTGTAGTTATTATTACTCCCACATACACTTTCACCGCATTTTACCACGGTTAATTCTCCTGCACGGGAAGTAAAGATCAGAGAGCCTACTTACATCACGCCTCAACTCCCTCTTCAAATCTTAATGTGGTTCACTGTGGTAATATTCCCCCCCACAAACTGGTTGTCACCGCGGTTAATTCTC